AATCCCAGTTTCAGGCCAAGCTGAATCAGTTAGAGAAAAACAGACTGCAGTGGTGGATACACACTGAGCGGAAGGTTCAATGTAATTACAGTGTTTAATGATAAGTACTCACCAAACGTAGTTTTTTTTTTAAAAGTGCACACCAAGTTTTGGCAGAGCACCACATAAACTTACAAATCTGTTCTTGATTTATGAATCTTCTGAAAGTCTAAGGACTAAAGAACTATTTCCCACATATTTTATATAGTTTTGAAACTCCGATCAATACTTTCCATAAAATTCTGTCAATTGCATCCCCAGGCATACTGACATCGTCAGCTTTGCACCTTTCACATGGAAACCACTGTTCTATTTGTAACATTTAATTAGCCTGTAGAATTTAAAAAGAAGTTTCATGCTCCTCCCAGCTTTGGAAGTGTTTCACTTAACATTTGTATGTAAACACAACATGATACATGAGCATATATGTCATATGTATATACGCGTATGTGTCTATTACTCCGTACTATAGCCCTTCATTTCAGAGAACTCACTATTTTAGCCCTAGAATCACTAAGAGCAGATGATATTCCCCAGTACCAATTGCCATGGGTCAACAGCTTCTGGCATCTGCTCTAGTTGGAGTACGAAGTCATTGGTGAAAGTCCTAGACCAAGAAACATTTTTTTTCCAAGTCATCAACATTAAAGGTATTTGTTCTTCATGGAAAACACTAAAAAATACTGTCTTTCTTATTCTTAAAAGGGCTATGTAATGATTCCGGAAAGTTATTTTGTGTCTATAGGTCGCATACACAATTGTCACACAATATTTTGTGAGTTAATCCAGAGGTAGGTGGATTTTCCCAAGGCTAAAGTGGCAAAAATTTGTAACATAAGGGATACCCTTGTTCTGCCTCAGGTCAGATTGTGGACTTTGGGGGTACTGAGGCTTTAACTCAGTCTGTGGAAGAACAGATCCTCAGACTGACCAACTCCTGACAAATCTCGCCAACTCTAAGTGTCAAAAGCACAGGCCAGTGTTAAACAGCACTTCTGCTCCCTCGTGAGAACTACTGTAAGCAGACAAATCTGCAACAATTGTGCACCCTTGCAGTGGATGTACAAATTATAAGATTCTTTTCTTTAACCTTTTTTTTTAACTTTCTAAAATGGAAACACAGGATTGGCCAGTTTACTGGTTTTAATTGCATTTGATGATACCCGGTCAAGTGGTTGTTTAAAGCTGGCCCAAGTGAGCCTCAACCAAGGTTGAGTTTCTGATCACATGAGCTACTTCAGGTACATAGGGAAGAAGAGCTCTTCTCCAGTTGTGAACTTGCACTCTATCCTTGGTCTACTCTTCTGCAAATATAATTTGGTGGATTTACATTGAGCTCTTCCCCATTTTTGAAAAATTAACCAGATACCTTTATCACAGTTTAAAATTCGACACGAATAGAGAACTGCAGGGCATTTTTATATTAAATCATTATCCATTTAATCTAATTAGACATTTAGCTATTACATGAATTCATTTAGCTGAAACATTTACATTTTGATCCCATAGCTCGGAATGGACAGAAGCCTGTATGGCTCCCACCAAGAACACTGCCCCCTGCAACATTCTAAACCTTACTTTCACGTTGTTCAGAGAAGCAGCCCAAGATTTTGTTATTTTAAGGCGTATTGTGGGCCAACTTTCATTTCACAGTGTAGACTCATCCCTAGAGATTGATTCAATTGTCTGCCATGAGGCTAAGGGATCAGTATTTTTAATGTTTTTGAGAGAGGCAGAGCGCAGGGCGGGGGGAAGGAAGCGGCAGTGAGCAATGCAGGAGAGGAGACAGTATCTGAAACAGGCTCCATCCAGGCTCTGAGATGTCAGCACAAGAGCCTGACGCGGGGCTGGAACTCGTGAATTGCGAGATCATGAACTGAGCCGAAGTTAGTTGCTTAAACTGAGCCACCCTTGAGGCATCAGTACTTTTGAAAGCTTTCCAGTGTTCTAGTTTGAAAGCCAGTGATGTAAAGCCACCTGGAAGAACTCATGCGGCTGGTGCTATGCACAGGGACTATATTCCTTGGCACACCGTTTCTCCTTTAGAGCGAACAATGACCAGTTCTTTATGGATCCCTTTAAATAGGTTCTAAATCTCCTGAACTCAGGTCTTAGCACTAGTACAGGCCACATTCTCGGGTTCAGAACTACGGTTATTCCTAATACTAACTCTTTGATAAGAGTCTGTAGCTATATTTATAAGCTCTATTAAAAATTGTATTTATAGATGATCTGTTGTCATTTCCACTAAATGGAAAACCTAAATATGTCAGTGTATCTTATGCTGATCCAAAAATCATGTTAACATCAATATAATTCAACTTGAACAACCTGTAAATAAAACATAGGCCAGATGGAGTAATTCGGTGATAAGGAACTTAATTATATCACGAGTAGTTTATTTCCATCACATAGATATCATGTAAACTTGTCTAAAACTTGGTTTGCTTAATTTTAAAAAGTAAACCAAGTTTATTAGTGAAAAAACCACTCTAACAGCTCTGAGTTATATTTACAACTAACACATAAATAACAATGATAAAGCTGAACCCATTTAAGAAAACAGGATGCTCCGGATAATCTCAACTCCTGATTGTACATTAGAATCAACTGTGGTACTTTTCCCAAAGCAAGAGTCCCCCCACCAGATTGGAGGGAGGCCTGGGCAGGTATACACATATAACGTGAGGTCATCCTGGTGTATAAGTCTAGATGAGAAAGCCAGACAAGACCACAGGCTCCTGAAACAGGCAGCACGGGTTCAAGTTGGCTCAGTAGCTCACAAGCTTTGTGGCGAAGTTATTTCTCCTCAGTGGTCTCTACGAAATGAGGACAGCAATCCTACCCAACTGGTATGATGGCACTTCTGAGTACTGCTTTGAAGTACAGAATTACTTGAAATACTCTCATCATGAGAATTAGAATTGTTCTCATTTGTCATTGAACACAAAGTATATAGATTCATTTCAATTTTTTTTTCCTTTGGGTCACAAAAACCATAATGAGGTAGGTACAAGGAAAACACGCATAGCAGGGGTCATCTGCTCAAGGTCACAAAGTTAAGTGTCAGAATAGACTCAAAACCCATGTCCTAACATGAAGGTTCAAATTCCATAAGTGAAAGAGATCAAAAAGATCTGACTCATAGTATACTGCAACCCGTGGTATAGTGAGTTGCCTATTTATGGGATTTTACTATACAATAGTCTCTCCTACCCCCCCACGACCTTTTTTTAAATTTTTAACATTTATTTATTTTTGAGAGACACAGCATGAGCAGGAGAGGGGCAGAGAGAGAGGGAGACACAGAATCTGAAGCAGGCTCCAGGCTCTGAGCTCTCAGCAGAGCCTGACACCGGCCTCGAGCTCACAAACTGCAAGATCACGACCTGAGCTGGAGTCAGATGCTTAATGGACTGAGCCCCCCAGGCGCCCCCACCCCCGGCCTTTTATTAATGGAAAACGCTGGGTAAAGACTCAAAAATTTTTCTTTCATTTTCTCACTTGCCCCCACAACTTTTACAGGACAGTGATAATGAGAAAGAAGGATATGGAGAGAATTACAAATCCTTGGTAATATGGAAATTATGCTCGGCCAAACATTTTCCCTCCACGATAACGTATATTAGCTTTCACGCATGTTCCCTCCCCCTTTCTTACTGCAGGAAGAAGACATGAACAACCACATGCAGGTGTACTTCAAACAGGCCTTCTATTCCCTAAATAACCAAGAACGCATAGTCTTATTTAATCATTTTTATTAGACTTAATTGATAAATAAATACAAGAGAACTGTTGTGAAATCACGAGCAATAAACTTTAAAGAATTTATTTCAGCTTCACTCACTTGTATTTCTTGGAATGGGATTATATACATTATTCATCAATAAATGCTTAATGCTTTAAATTTACAATTACCCTATATGCAGAAACTTGAGAATGATGCCAATTAAAAGAAAAAAGTACAAAAATTTGTCTTTTGTTCTTACAGTTCAAAGTATATTTTAAAATAATACTTTTACAGCAGCCAAAACCTTTAACCAAAAATTGAGAACTGCAATTTCATAAGCTTAACAAAATGGCCACATTCTAACTTGATTATCTTTGTTATTAGCAGCGGGGGAAAAATATGGTGTATCCTAAATAAAACAAGGCAGGCTAACAACTAGTACAGCTTCCCTTCTGGGCACTCAAAAGCTCGATCCTGGATTATTATTTTTACTTCACCTGTTCAAACACGGACAACTGCTCCAACTTTAAAGGAAGTTTAAATGGATGTTCGGTATTTAACATGGATGATGCTTGGTAAAACTTAAGAACTCCAAAAATGAGAATCAGATAATGACCCACAATTTAAAAAAAAATACCCTAAGGGACTGACTACTATAGTGTTATCTGGTGTTCAACATCAATAGTGTTTTTTGAATTAGATGATATTTTTTCACAAACATAGCACCTCATTAAATATCTGGTAAACACCTGGCAATCACAATAAGTGTTGGGAGACTAAATTCCAAAGAGAATTAACGTGATTCGCTTAACATAACATAGCAAGACAAATCTCAAGCATTATCAAGGTTAGGAACGCACTGTTGGTCCCCGTGCCCTCAAAGGATGCTCACCTATTGTGGGCACTATCTTAGTAAGACTCGGTACTTTGCTTCCAAAATCTGGAGAGTAATGAAATATTGACATGGACTCTTTTTTTTTTTTTTTTTTTTTTTTTTTTTTTTACAAACAATCTGTTAAATGTACTTGTAAAACTAAAAAAACTTTCCAAAAGGTCAAAAGAGATATAATTATTTTCTCTCCTTACTCCAGGTAATTCTGTTTAAAAAGATATTGAATGAACTCCAGTTTTAATTTGCAAAGTTTTGGTGTAAAAGCTAACGTAATGAAATCCAGTAAAGTCTTCAACTTTTGTCTAAATTAACAAAACTACTATTCATTTTGGTGAGTTCTCACAAGCTGTACTCTTGACCTGAGGAATCACTCTTTTTGTGCCGAGGAGACGGAGTGGTCTTTGTAGGAGATGGGGACGCAGTACCAGGTGAGTCAGTTCCTCCATCGGAAGTACTTGGTGATGATGCCAGATACGGAACTTTCTTTCTTCCAAGGAATCCTCCTCCTTCAAATCCCCCTTTCTTCCTTAACTCCATTTTATTTTCATTTTCTTCTTCTGATGACCTTTTCTTAGATTCCAGACCTTCAGCTACTTTATGCACTTCCAATCCACTATCTGATTCTCTCAAACTTTTTACTTCTGTTCCAGGAGACTTTCTCTCCGATACACTACATTCCCCCGTTGCCCGCTTTACTTCGGCTTGTATTGGACCCAAGTTACCATTTTCAGGGACGGCTCGTTCTACATTTCTGTTCAAATTAACAGTCTGGAAGTCCCTATAACTGTGAAAGCTCTCAGTCCTCCTTGCTCTTGCTAACAAAGGACTCTCTCTGTAAGGCCTCATGGAACCATAAGTAGCTGCTTCGTGGACAGTCTCATGGTGCTGGAGCTGAAGGCTGAAATACAGGTTTTATAAAAAATTACAGTTCAGATTACTTTCTGGGATTTTTCAGGGGCACATCTCATTAACTAAACTACAATGAAAAGGTATTATTTAAATATATAAAGAATGCATATCCTCATTTCTATATATAAAAATTCACTTAAGTACTCTATATATTATGGATTAGTGTGTGTGTAGGTGTGTGTATGCTTATCAAATCACCAATGCAAATAATAACATACATATATTCAGTGAATCTGAATTTCTGAATAGCTGAAAAACGCTGGGGGAGGAAAAAAAAAAACCTTTCAAACCAATATGGAACCAATATAATTTAGTCTTTGGTCCTGAATCCAAATTTTGGAATTTTTAAAAATGTGGTAATCAGAAGACATACAATGCTCCTGTATCGGAAGTACAGAATAACCAAACGTAAGCTTACACAGATGATGTAATCGCTTCAATTAATATCTCCCTGAGGCAACAGGAACAAAAAATCCACACACTATTCAAGGTGACATGTGTTTTTTCCATCTCCTTTGAATGAACTCTTGATCACATAATAGGCAACCAAATTGGCAGCAATTCACAAAGTAAGTTAAAAAGAAAAAATGGTTTTTAAATTTTTAAAGTTTATGTATTTATTTTTGAGAAAGAGAGAGAGAGAGAGAGAGAGAGAGAGAGAGAATCCCAAGCAGGTTCCATGCTGTCGGCACAGAGCCCAATGCACAGCTCGAACTCACCAACTGTGAGATCATGACCTGAGTGGAAATTAAGAGTTGGCCACTTAACCGACCAAGCCCCCAGATGCTCTGGAAAAAATGTTCTTCTATAAAAAGAGCCAGATATGCTTATAGATGAGAAATTTAGTAAAATGTTTTTTAAAAAACTGAGTCAACAAAGTCAGAATTAAAAATGTGCCTTGAAAAATGATTCTTTCAACAACTATGTGATTACAGTATCTCAGCCAATTTTCCCAAAAGCAATCAATTCAACTTATAAATACAATTTACGACTCTTTAACCTACCTAGAATTTGATTCACGGAGACGGCTGTGCTGAACCACAGAAGTTGCTGGACTGATGTTAGGAGTAGCACAGCGAGATGTGCTCAGGTCACACTGATCCAGTAATTTGAGTAGCTCTTCTTCAGTCGGACCACCTACATCTTAGGAAAACACACGCTCATTTTATCATCACTTCTGTCAAAAGCTTATTACCCTGCGGACAAACAACTTCCCACATGGAACCTACCCTTCTCTTCACTTTTGCTAACCATATCCATCGCCGTGGTCAGATCCCACATCTGAATGCTGCCATTTGTATGGCCTGTGAATAGGTAGCGCCTTGGCCTTGAGCCCATCCTACTGGATCCCTCACATTCTCTCACTGTAAATGAGGATATTGTTGTACAGTCAACGGCCTGGATCTCACAGATTCTGCAAAAAATATTGTATAGTTGTAAACCACGGGGGGCAAGTAACACATTGCAATTCAGATTTTTGAAATTGCTTGTTAGCAAATTAGAGTTGACTATTCTATGTATTTAAAACAGATCTAAAAAGTTCAAGGCAAGTCAACAGAAATAAGATTCAAGCCTTGTTTCTTTGAGTCTATAGAAAAGGCTGTTATAAAACAACATATTTAAATAATTATGAAATAAAGCAAATCATTTAAGTCAACCTTAAAAACAGAAAGAACCTTGATGGGAACTAATTCTTGAAAAGGAAGTTATAAACTAAAAAGGCAGAAACAAAAGCAAGTAGGCATGATACTGGAAAAGATCTTGAGAAATCATTTAAAATGTATGTGGAAATTCAAGTCTGAAACCAGAAAAAAAAAATGTACAGGTGTACGGAGAGGTCTGTCTAAGTAGTATCCTCTATTAAGATAAGATTCTTAACTTTTTTAAAGGATTTTTATAACTATTTCACTGATTTTCATAAAGGACAAAAGGACCTAGAAAGAGCAATTATCACTTACATTTGACAAATAAAACAAACAAGGAATAATGTCAGCAAATGATTTGTCAAAATCGTGTAAAAGTTGACTGCCTTATGCTTGACTGAATTATTTACCCCAGACTACTTCAAAACGAAGAGGCTTATTGAATGAATGAATGAATGTATGAATAAGTAAATAAATAGTACCAGGCAAATGCAAAGTCAAAAAGTAAAGGGGGGGTGCCTGGGTGGCTCAGTGGGTTGAGCATCTGGCTTCGGCTCCGGTCATGATCTCACCGTTGGTGAGTTCAAGCCCCGCGTCGGCTCTGTGCTGACAGCTCAGAGCCCGGAGCCTGCTTCAGATTCTGTGGCCCCCTCTCTCTCCGCCCTACCCCTGCTTGTGCTCTGTCTCTTTCAAAAATGAATAAACATAATAAAACAATTTTTTTTTTTTTTTAAATAAAGGAGGAAGGGGAAATACCATACTTATCAATGTGGGAAACACAGAATATGAAGCATAGCTGAGCCTCCTGGCAAGCATGGATAAAATGATGAGGGGAGAAGGGTTAATTACTGGACATCCACATATAGTGATAGAGGCTATCCTACTCTCATTCCCAACCAAAGGGAAAAACTTTCAATATTTTACCACTGTGTATAAAGTTTATTATAATTTGTTCTGTAGGCATTATTTATCAGATTAAAAAATCTGTCCTTTATTTTAAGCACTAAGATTCTTTTTTTTAACCATAAATGGGTATGAAACTGTGAAATGTTTTTTCCTCTTCTTAACATAGTGAATTTACATTTTTAGTAATACCTATAAATTGATATAAAATATTTTTAAAATCTAAATTACTGTTCACATTTAAAACCAAATAAATCAAAATAAAATGACACAATATAAACCTACGTGCTTGAAAACAAACATGATTTTGCTTTTTGTTCTTCCTATGGGCTAGATTCCTTAGGATTGCTTCTTCCTTTAAATGCTGACAAGGTTTTTTCCCTGCCCACTTTCAATAAAACCTTTTCATTTCACTTCTCAGTATTAAGAAACTGAACGACTTTTACTTTTTATTTTTTTAATTTTTTTTAACGTTTATTTATTTTTGAGACAGAGAGACAGAGCATGAATGGGGGAGGGTCAGAGAGAGAGGGAGACACAGAATCTGAAACAGGCTCCATGCTCCGAGCTGTCAGCGCAGAGCCCGACGCGGGGCTCGAACTCACGGACTGCGAGATCATGACCTGAGCTGAAGTCGGACGCTTAACCGACTGAGCCACCCAGGCGCCCTGAAACTGAACGACTTTTAAACAAAAGCTTTACTTAGCATTAGCCTCATAAAGGGATTTTTTTTTTTTTTTTTAATGCTTATATATTTGAGACAGAAAGCGGGAGCAGGGGAATGGCAGAAAGAGAGGGAGAAAGAGAATCCCAAGCAGGCTCTGTGCTGTCAGTGCAGAGCCCCATGATGGGGCTCGAACTCACCAACTGTGAGATCATACCTAAGCCAGATCAAGAATCAGATGCTTAACCTACTGAGCCACCAGGCACCCCATAAAGGGTTGATTTTCTATTTAATTCTACAAAGTATTTTTTTAAATTTTTTTAAACATTTATTTATTGTTGAGACAGAGGAGAGAGCGTGAGCAGGGAGGGGCAGAGAGAGAGGGAAACACAGAATACGAAGCAGGTTCTAGTCTCTATCAGCACAGAGACTGACTCAGGGCTCGAATTCAACGAACTGCGAGATCATGACCTGAGCCGAAGTCGGACACTTAACCAACTAAGCCACCCAGGTGCCCCCAAAGTAATTTCTGATTATTTTTATAAATATAACTCTTCCTGTGGAATCGTGAATTTAAAAATTATAAAATTTGTTCTGTCATGCAGAGACTGTAGATGATAACACACTGCCACTGTTTAACCTAACAGAGGAGGGAGGACATTAGAATTGAACAAGGATATGAAACACATTGTCAGAGGCTGTTATGCAGCAGTTTTAATACATGTTTGACGGCACCTTCACTAATATGCAGAGAAAATGATGAATCATGGTGATTTATAACATTTCTCAAGATAATAATCTGATCTCTAACTACATTACAGGCTTCTAATACATTTTCTTAAAAAGAAAAAGGTAACGAAAGTAGTTTAGTACTTAAAAATCATTCTCTAGAATCAATTCATTTAACACTTGCTGATGACTATATGCAATGAACTTTGATGGAAAAAAAATTTATCATCTCCAAGAGTTTGTTCATTAACATATTAGGAAATGAGAAACCACATGCTGAAGGGGAACAAGAGCAGTAGCATTAGTAACATTAGTATGAAAATCCATAACCTTCTTAATGACTACTAGGTATGAATTCCACCTTTTTCACTTGTTTGGCATGCAAAAAAATTTGTTTTTATAGAAGAGAAATGTACACGTCAATCTGTTTGAGGTTTGAGGCTATATATAGTAATTTAAAAGAAGTACAATTTCACTCAAATGTTAAAAGTAAGGGGAAACTAATTTCTATTGGGCATCTGTTACTGTCTGGGACCATGAAAGATATTTCATGTTTTTAACTCATTTTATCTTAATGACATCCTTCCAAGGTAGTTGAACCTTATTTTATAAAGAAACTGGGGGCTCAGAGAAACAAAGTAATAAGTTGAATTTATGCAGCTAATAAGAGGAAGTGCCAAAATCAGAATTTAACTCAGCTGTCTGCCATCAAATTCATGGGTTCTTATTGTTATATCACCCATCCACAGTCTTCTTAACTGTCCACAGGATCAGTGAAAAACCTTAAAAAAATCCTAGAAGATTAAGTACTAAATATACTGTCTTAATTTTAAGCTAAAAAGATCCAAGGTAATGACTAGACTTCTTTTTTCAACAATTTGCTTCTGGTAGTACTTTTTATCAGTAGGTCAAATTACACGGTTTTTTGTTTTTTGTTTTTTTTTTTAAGACAAAAGTGACTTCTGAATACAAATAAAGTTTTACCTTTTCCCAGTAGATGAGAGTCTTACAAACAGTTTGTTGGTGATGGGAACAACTTTCTGGATAAACACCTGTTGATCATCTCGTTCTCCAAAAGGCCCTTGGGTTAAAAAACAGACAATGTCAAAAGAAGTTAACTGAAATCCATTGGTTTCACTGAACAACAGAAATGTCAATACCAAAAAAAAAAAAAAAAAAAAAAAAAAAAGGCATTTTTCACACCTGTCAACACCTGGCCTTATAGTCCACATCCCAGTCAGACAGAAAGTGCAGTGCTGCACATACTCCAACTTGCAATAAACATTTTTTAAAGAAATATATAATATTTCAAATTCTATTTTATGCACTCAGCCTATTAAAGCTGAAGGCATTAATGTGCTGAAGACTATACACTTACAGCACTAGTACAACACCTGTTAAAATACAGGTTCTACATCTATCATCTTTGAGAATGTGTGCCATTTCTTATAACTTCAGAAAAAGTACACATAAATAAAATTAGTTTATGTATGGACTTTACTCTTTCTTGAAAAACCAAATGCAGAATCTTAAGAAATAAAGGGTGACTTCATTAAATAGAATTTAATTGGGCGCCTGGGTGGCTCAGTCGTTGAGCATCCAACTTCGGCACAGGTCCTGATCTCATGACTTGTGAGTTCGCTGGCTTCAGATTCTGTGTCCCTCTTGTGCTCTGCCCCTCTCCCGCTCATGCTGTGTGTGTCTCTCTCTCAATAGTAAACATTAAAATAATAAATAAATAGAATTTAATTAACTAGAAGAAGCCTGTTGTATCCCACAAGGTTTTCAATGTAAAAAGAAAGATTCTTGTACCCCAATGTTTATAGCAGCACTTTCAACAATAGCCAAATTATGGAAAGAGCCTAAATGTCCATCAACTGACGAATGCATAAAGAAGATGTGGTTTATATATATACAATGGAATACTACTTAGCAATGAGAAAGAATGAAATCTGGCCACTTGCAGCAATGTGGATAGAACTAGAGAGTGTTATGCTAAGTGAAATAAGTCAGGCAGAGAGAGACAGATACCATATGTTTTCACTCATAGGTGGATCCTGAGAAACTTAACAGAAGACGATGGGGGAAGGGAAGGGGGAAAAAAAAAAAAGTTAC